GCACACGCCTAAGCTGCAACAACCTGAACATGAACTGTGCCAGAAGGGAACGGCCAGTTACGCGGATGGACTATTGTCATGCCAGTGAATGCCCTCAGAGTCGGATTGATGACAATGCATAGAAGGGAAAAGGCCCCTCCTCATGAAGGACGCTATTTATCATCCTAGGCTTCCGTTTGTAAGAACGTTGAATTGGAACAGGCTATGCGAAACAGGGGTATATCTGCCCATCGCAAATGATGTGTGTCTCTGTGGCTTGGGAGAGGCTGCAGTGAGCTTCGCTCGCCAAGTTAAGTTGAGACGAGTTTCTTCAGAACGGCAGTGGCACTCACATGCAAAGTTTTTCACGGCCCACGACAATTCTTATATTACTATATGGTCTAATGAAGCGTGCAATATGCATTGCGCCCTCATCGCTTCCTGCCTCCCACGTGGTATGGAGCCAGGGGCTATGCCGAGAGCTGAAATTTTGTTGCAAGGCACGAAGAGTGCTTCAGGATACTCAAATAGCTGGTAGCTCCCGCGCACACCTTGCGTAAGAAAATGCATTTGTGACCACGACAACACGAAACAGCGCAAGCAACATTCGTGGATTCAAAGGAAAGATCACAAGACGAATACAGCGGCTACATGGTCATGGATCGGTGCAAAATGGAAATGTAAAGAAAAATTCACAAGGATGACTTCATCTGCATTGGTTTGGGAGCTCTAAGTTTCTGAATATGCGTTAAAAGACAAAAAAAGTTTTGTTCTAAAAAGCTGTTTCGCAGCGGAAGAGTAACAGGTGGCATTTCCCTGTGAGTTCCGTACAGGTTTATCGCCTGTAGCAGTACTTCTTGAAGCTGAAGTACAGCTGCATGATGCCGCGATCGAATACGTTGCGGAAACCTCTAAATCTTTCTAAATGCCATTCGCGATTCAAAACCTTGAATGCAACATCTTCATACGGTGGACCCGCATGGAAACGCACGATGATCGTGTCGGGTGTATCAGAGGGCTCTAGAGTCCACGTGGGGGTCTTGGTCTTGTCGATCAAATCCGGGTAGAATATATTGAACTTATAGCCCTGCACGATCTTCGGAGGCGGGTTATCGTGATCGTAGTGTGTCTGGTTGTACTTATTCCAGAAATAACAAGTCCGTACACGATTGAAAAAACGAGGTTTCCTTGGGCGGTACTTCTCTTCCCACCCGTAGTGCTGCGCGCATCAGCAGGTTCAGTGAAAGCAAGTTCAAGTTCAACAAAACAACTCTGTCTACAACACGAACAAATCAGAACATGAAATACATTTTCTGTATTCTTATATAATTTCAGTTTTCAAACACGAATATGTAAATATAAACGAGATTACATGAAATTAAAAAATACCTGTTTCAGCTTCATTTCAGATGACGCGGCAAGCACCTCCTCGTCAGGACTTGCATTTTTCTGTTCCTTGCGCACGAAATCCTCGTACCTGGCGGAGCATAAACAAACACATCAAAAAAAATAAATTATATTAATCAAAAGCAGAAACTATTTTCAGCGGCTTCTGAAAGTAATTAGTAATTCAACAGCCGCTTCCGCTTCAACAAGGCCACCAAATACACGAACACTCTGCATGCGAAGCTACCAAGAATAAAGATAGTAATAAAACATTCATTCATTCGTCGAAATAACTTTCAATATAGAATAACAAATATGCTAAGAAATATCATAAAGGTATGCTTTGTACTGATGCTACAAATCTATTGACCGGTGTGGTGATGCGGTGTGGTGATGCGGAGCGCTTTCTTACGTAACGATCTTTGCCGCAGGATCTAAGATTTCGTCATCATTNCGGTGTGGTGATGCGGAGCGCTTTCTTACGTAACGATCTTTGCCGCAGGATCTAAGATTTCGTCATCATTTTCCTCTTCAGGTGTTTCTTTTTCTTTATCTAGACCGAGTTGAATCAGCCGTCGTTCACGTTCGCGGTGTTTTGCTATCTTTCTTTCTGCCATTCTCTGTTCAAGTTCCTCATCGGGGTGCAGTATGTTCGTCTCCATACGGAATTCATCGAAGGGGTACAATACAGGAGAGTATGGGCCCCTGGGTTTGGGTACCTCTGCCTCATCTTCATACGGTTCGAGTTCAGGTGAGTAACTCCCATCAGCTCCAGGGTTTATTTCTTTCTCTACAACACGCGCCATACGCTTTGCCTGTTCCTGTATCAGTTGAATCTTCTGCTGCTCTCGTGCCTCTGCCTCTGTAGCCAACAGATCGTCTGTCAATCCCTCCTCCTCTGCACGCGCCTTCATCTGCTCCGCCTCAGCCTCTGCCCGCTCGCACTTCAATTGGTGATCCAGCTCTGCCGCCCGCTGCTGAATACGCTGGTGATACATCAAGCATATCGACCTCGCCTAAACAAAAACAAAAAAAAAACAACGACCGTAAGCTATGTGCATGCATGCATGCATGCATGCCTGCATGCGTGTATGCATGCCGACGCGCGTGAAACACTCCGACAGAAGGAACGCGCAAAAAACAGCAGAAATATGATGAACCATTGTCTATGCAAAAGTAAAAAAAAAAAGAAGAGTGAGAACGCCAGCAATGTACGGCTGCATGCATGCGCGAGCGCGCCTGCACGCAGAGGTGTTTAGGTTTTTTTGAATTACCCTGAAAAGGGGTATCTTCTGGAGTATCGCTTCCCAGTAGGCTGAGTCAACATCT